TATTTGAAACCTGCTAAAAGGTGGCAATTCTGATGAGGCACTCTATCTTGAGCTTTGCAATGAAAACAGCATAGGCATAGATAATGATGAAAAAAAGGCATTCGAATGGTATTCAAACCTGCTGAAGGTGACAATTCTGATGAACAGCCTAATCTTGGATTTTGTAATAAAAACGACATAAGGATAAAGAAAAACTATCGAGTGTTATTTGAACCTGCTAAAAGGTGGCAATTATGATAAGGCAGTCTATCTTGAACTTGCAATGAAAATAGCATAGGCACAGATAATGATGAAAAAAAGGCTTTCGAGTGGTATTCAGACCTGCTGAAGGTAACAATCCTGATGGGCAACCTAAACTTGGATTCTGCAATGAAAACGGCATAGGCACAACTAAAGATGAAAAAAAGGCATTTGAGTAGTATTTGAGATCTGCTGAGGTAACAATTCGAATAGACAATTCAATCTTTGAGCCTTTTATCGAAATGGTATTGGTATAGCTAAGGATAAAAAAAAGGTATTTTATGAAAAGCTTTTGGACTTCTGTTCTATTTTGTTAATACGTCTAACCAATTTTTTTTTTACTATCCAGTTCATTTTTTACGCATCAATTTAGAGAATTTAATTAAACCAAAATTTTATTATTGAGTTCATTAGAAAGATATGTTATATTATATAGTAACTAATCTAATTCGATGTACAAAAAACTTCTGGGTCACTAGTTATAGGTAGACACTCTTTTTAACAAAACAAAAATAAAGTTGAATTAGCGAAAGTTTTTTAAAAAAAGGATATCTCGATATTGACATTATTTGTATTACCTCAGATCCTTAAATTTGATTGGTTAAAATTTGTTTATGCTTAAAGCGGGATACAGCTTACAGGGGGTATATGAGTCGGGGAATACCATAACCCATATCTGGGTATAAATCAAAATTTGGCATTCTAAATTGCTGCAGGGTATAGCTCACGAGGGTATACATGTTGGGAAATTATGGTACTATCAAATAGGTTGTTACCTTTTAATTGCAATAGAATTCACACTATTAATTAAACATTAATTATATAAGTTTAATTCCTTAACATGTCTAATAAATTTTGTGAAATAGCTAATATTTTAAGGTTTATTGTGTATAGTGGTATATATGATAGTTTATATTCCCTATTTAATCACATATCATATAATCCTATTGCTAAAAATCCACCTATTCTTTGGACGCTATCTAATCTATTAAAAGAAATCTACACAATAATATCATGTATGCAGCATCAAGTTGTAATGCTTAATCTAATCATTGACATCCTTATTGCCGCTTATTTATCTGCTCATATTTCCAAATTTAAGTAAAAAGGGTTGACCAGTAGTCTTCGAGATCATATTTGTGACATATTGGTATATGCTGAACATTAACTGATGACCAATTAACTTTTGCATACTTCTTCACACTCACATGTACGATATGATTGCCATTTATAAAATATAAAATAATTAGGTCTCTTCGATGAATTGGTGATATTTTTAGCAGAAATAATAACATACTATATTCATCTCTTTCTTCAAAAATAGTGATAGAAACAGAGAATGTATTGGCTGCCAATTGGGCACAGTCAAGTGATAAAAACCAGTATAAAGGTTGACAAGGTGAATCTTTGGATTCTAATATCCATTTAAATAAACTAATATCGTAGTTCAGCCAGTCTCTATAAACTTCTATGCGCTTATTTAGTTGGCTATTCATCACTAATTTAATTAGATCCCAATTTTCTTCATTGCCTCTAATAGCAATGACAAGTGCACAGAACCCACAATTGCCATCGCTTAGAAGATTATATACTTTGTCTATGTCTTCAGCAGGAATGCGATAATTTAATCTAAATTTTTGTTCTTGATCTAATAAATAAATAAATAAATAAATAAATAAATTTTTAATGCCTTGATTATGTACAATAAAAAATAAATGCCTTGATTATATGATACAATGCTGTAATAATAGTACAATAAATATATAAATGTTTATATCTTTTTAGTATACCTTCAATACAAAGTGCCAAGATACTTTGTGAAAAACTAGTGCATTTGGTAAGATTGTTTTGACATTCTCAGACTTTTTTTTTTAATAAGTAATTGTGCTTTTAATTTAGTTTAACTTACTATTAACCTTTTTTTTTTTTTTTTCTTCTTGTTCTATACATTCCAATACAGTTGGCAATTGTTTGGTTCCAGAAGGACAACCTTTTCCTATAATTCATTCTAAAACTTTTATTTCTAAAGTTTAACTTCTGGGTTTCCAAAATATCATCAAGTTTGTCTAAAAAGACGATTTTTGTTGTTCATCTTTAAAGCCCATATATTGTAATTCAATATTATATAATTTAGACTTAAGTAAAAAAAACTATCCAAATTTTCTAATACTTCATTCTGAATTATATGATTGGAATTAGGTTGACCTTGCTCAGGAAATAGCAACCATCTAGTTGGAATAATTGACAGCATAACAGGACCTTTCATTGGAAGAAGGTGGCAACAAGGTAAATTATAATTAATACATAATTCACAAAAGCAAGCTTTATACATAGTTGCATTAAGAAGTTTGCACTTGATTTTATTTAATGCAAATTGAGATATTCTTCTTAGGAGTGGTCTCAAACGGTCCTTATCATCCTGTATTAATAAAGGGTCAATCTCTATACTTTCCTTTTCATATTGTAGAGAAGTTTCTTCATGATGCAAGCGTAACTATCTATCTAAGGAATTAAAGACCTTCATCAAACTTCCTGAAGACTTGATAGCATATTTCATAGCCGAATGTGCACCTTTTACACATTGTGTTGTCATTGCACCAAAGTGCATAAGCTTGCTTGTATAAACACCAATCTATTTCTCCTTTACTTTCTTCATTCTTCAGAAAATTATAATTATTTATACAAATTAAAAATTGATTTTATATTTAATTAAAATCGATTTTTAATTTTAAAATTTTTTTTTAAGAAAAAAAAATTGAAAACACATATCTTTTAAGGTATTTTATAACTTTATCTGCATTTGAGCTAGATGTAGCTAGTTTAGAATAGTCGGAAATTGCAAAATTTAATTTCTTAGATTGATAAAACAATCTATGATCTTAATAATTTCATGAAATAAATCATCAATAAAATAGTTTTTTAAATTTTTTCTTGAAATTATTCATAACATGCCAACTACACAAAATATTTTTGACTTTAGAAAAAATTCATCTAAGTGCACCAATTAGTGCAGCATCATTATCAGTAACAAATACAGAAGAAAGAATATCTAAAAATATAAGGGATGCAAGCTGATCAAGAATTTAAATATATGATTTCTCTGACTCATCTGATACCCAAGCACCAGCAATGCCGAAAGTCTGCAATTTGTTGACTCCAAGATTACCAATTCCAACGAAATTTACAAATGGCAACTTATAAACGTTTGTCTTATAAGTTGCATCAACTAGGACTACTTCTGAAAACCATCTTGCACTTTTAACCAAATTAGTATGACAAAAAAACAAATGCTTTATACGGCCATCTATAATAAATTAAATATTAAATAATTAATAGATTGAAATTTAGAAAATTAATGTTATCAAAAATAAATAAATAAAATTTCTAAATTAATTAAAATAATAACATGCGTCATCTTTATAGTAATATAAGCATAAAGGTAGTGATACAAATCAAAAATCGAATTAATTGATAAGTTGGTTAGTTGATAACTAATTGATTGAACATTTTAGACACCAACTAATTGATTAATTGATTAATCGACTAATTGATTAGTTGCAACTAATTGACTAAAGAATTAATTAATTAGTTGCAATTAATTGATTAATTAATTAATCAATCAGTTGCAACTAATCGATTAGTTGCAACTAACTAAAAAATAATTAACCAACTAATTGATTAAAATAATTTTGGCAATTTGTAACACTACATAGAGATATTAAAAAAAAAAAAGTAACTTTCCTTTATAATTTTCACAATATACTGTATACACTCTTTCTTCCATTTCTATTATCAATGTCTCTATTGACGTAGTTTCTTCTAAAGAATCGATTCGCAAACCCAAATTAGATATATCCTTTCTTGTCACAGTTGGTGACCCATTTTCGTCTCTAAGAGCCTCATAGATCATACTTGGCTTTGTCCCTGCTTTTAACATTTTCATAGCTGTACATTTTACTTCTCAGGTTAATTGGCGATGTTCATGGAAAACTCTCTTATCTTCGGCCATGGTATGATTATATTCATTAATAATTTCAATCACTTGCCATCTACTTTTTCTTAATACAGCCTTTAAAAGATATAAACACTCACATTGCTTACTCATTGTCTTTCTTTGGCAGGTTTCTGGTGTCAGATTTGAGAAATTTTGAGGCTGGCCACCACGTTTGCATTTAAGGTAAAAATGATGATCACTACTACTTTTGGTTATTATAGCGAAACCAAAATGTTGGGCAATTTACTGAGCAGTGCGAAGGATATCTTTTTTCATTGTATATTCCTGACCAAGCATTTTATTAGCTATTATTAAATTATTCATAAAATAGGTTAAAAATTAAAATTACATAATAAAAAAAAAGAAATAATAAACAGAATTTTATAGACACGTCTTTTTAATTTGATTTTATTTAATATATTATATTCAGACTTTATTATACAACTATCCATGATCTTGGTCTTATTTTCTGCCTTATCTTCCTCATCTTTGCTTGCAGTTTCATTATTAAATTCGATTTCATTTGCGGTTTTATCTTTGGAATCGATATTATTTTCTTGACTATTTCTGTATTCAAAAATACCAGTATAAATACAGTATTAAATTTCACAACAAACAAGCTAAAAAAATTCAATAATGGAAATTCAGATATTTATTGAACATCTAAATACCTAGTATTATTTATCAAAAACCCCTTAAAATTCTATTAGTCAAAATTTTGGAGTGCTCATGTTAACCATTGCTGTGCTGATAAGAAGATAAGATCACATGTTGCTGTGTCTGTAGCATTCACCTTATAAAAAAGTTACTGTTACATAATAATCGACAGTGGATTATCCAATAGTAAATCTTGCTTTAGTGTAATATAACACAATTCAAAAGATTAAACAAAATGTTCACTTTTTCAAAAGTCACTTATTTTGTGAAAATTTGTATAAAAAACCACCTTTTGCACTTTAACAAAAAATTTTCTTTGAACAAATTTACTATATACCTGCTAATAGTTAGCTTTATAACCTTAACTTAAACAAACTTAAAGAGTTTTTGATACATCATAGCTATTATATGACAGTAACTTTTTTACAGTAATGCTGAGAAAGATTATGTTTATACTTATATTTACGATATAAGAAAATTTAAAAGAAATGCAAGACCAATCTTATATGTTATTTGTCCTTAAAACATTTTTTTGAATTTTTTTTTTCTAGATTTATTGATTTACATTCTTAATATTCAACAAGTTTTATTTTTTTTTCCATTGAATTTTTTATTGGCTGATGAAATGATAATCAATAATCATCAAAGACTAAAATGAAAACTGAAGATTTTAATGAAAAATAATTTGATAATCACTTCTAAATCTATTATTGATTATTGGATTAAAAACTTTTATACATTCACCTATAACTAAAAAATCTGCATATATAGGACATATTTACCAATTTGATTTTTAGGGGTCTTTTTTCAATAAACTATTATACAAACTTCTGCTATTAAATAACATAAAGAATAATAAACGAGATCTTCAAATAAAATAGTTTTTTGCCTCTATATAAGATAAACAAGCAATAAATATTTAAAGAACAGCTATGTCAAGCTATAAAAAGAAGTACTATTACTAGTTATTGAAGTAGGACCTTAAATAATATATAGATAGGTTAGAAGTTATTAAAAAAGAAAATTTTAAGAAAAATTCAATAAACATTGCATTTTTACATAGTAAATTTTTTCAAATTTTAGTCAAAAATAAGCATTTTTGAAGCAAATTTGGCATGAAAATAAGCAAACTTAAATCTAACCTATTGTAATATAGCAATACAGAGTCTTAGTAAAGCTATACTACTTGACTTAATATGTAAGAGGGTTAAGAAATGTGT